TAAAGGGGTCATTGTATAAGCGTATATAAAATTTTACCCCCGGATCTTAAAATTTTACCCTCCCCCCCCGGATATTGAAAGACCCCCCGGAGACTCCACAAGTACCCAAAAAATCAAACCGGTTTAAGTTTTATATCAAAAAAATTCCTTGCGTTCTTGGTTACATAATGGGTGAAACAGTTTTTTTTAACAAAAAGTTATTTAATAGATAAAAAGAGCGCGGGTAGGCCAGTTTCCGCAATTTTTTTTTGGCGCAATAGGGTCATTTACGCAATTGCGTCGTTTGCGCAACTCGCCATAACTTCTTCCGCAACTTTCTTCTTTAAGTAAATCAATCTTTCATTTTGACGAATTCGATCTTATTGCCATGTCAAATTTGCTCTATATTTAATCTTTTTATACCTGTGTTTCCTAACTGTAGTCTTACTTTACTTTACTACATTTTACTTTTACTACATTTTTAGTTTTCTTTCTTTTTTTGTGAAAGTATTGTAGCAATATGTTATACCATATTTCTTCGAATAGAAGACCGGGTAAAGAGTATCATCGCGTACTCCTGCGTAGCAGTCCTTTTTAAAATTTCTTTTTTGCATAAAAAGCTTTCAATCAAGTGCTATAGAGCTGGAAAATAACTCAAAAATACGACATGAGCTAACAGATTTTTGAGCCATTTTCCAGCTCTATAGCACTTGATTGGAAGCTTTTATGCAGAAAAGAAATTTTAAAAAGGACTGCTACGCAGGAGTACGCAATGATACTCTTTACCCGGTCTTCTATTCGAAGAAATACGGTATATGGGGTTATGACTATCTGATTGGCTTCTATTCGCCAATGAATAAAGCATATATATAATATTATAATAATGGGAAAAAGAACCAATCTTTCTAGCCGCCGAGATCGAGCCGTTAACCTTAACCCGACTAAGAGACAAGACTCCTGTCCGGTCGGCTACATGGCTATGGCTACATGGCTATGGCTACATGGCTACGGCTACATGGCTACGGCTACATGGCTACGGCTACATGGCTACGGCTACATGGCTACGGCTACATGGCTACGGCTACATGACTACGGCTACATGGCTATGGCTACAAGACTCCTATCCGGTCAGCAATATGTGAGATGCGGTTATGACTATCTGATTCCCTTCTATTCGCCCATGAATAAAGCATATATATTTGTTGCACTTATTGTATCGATCTACAAAATGAAGTCAAAAGGAATTGAGTCAGAGTCAATGACTTCTGATTTTTCATTTTTAATTTTCAATGGTCAAGAGCATTGAAAGTCCTCAAATGCTGAACTCTTGAATCCAGATGAGATAAAGAAAAGTCAAAAAATTGAATTTTAAAAGAGTTTCGACGAAAAACGAATGAATCAATGTTCAATTAGTTCACTTGGTTGGGTATTTTACAAGTAAAAATCGAAAAAAAAAAGAATTGCTCATTTTATTGAAGTCTGCACCTGGCTTCTCTTACTTCTGTTTAGAAAGAGATTGAAAAAAAAAAACGCGAATTAGAGGTTACGATGAAAATTTCCTTTTGAAAGCTTAATTATAGATGTTTTCGGGGAGAATTATCCCCTTTTTTTTTGAACTTACTTTTTTGACAAATAAAAATTTGTGATCTCATTTTAATTCTAGGAATTTTTAAGTAAAAAGATGCCTTTTTTTGTTTACATTTTTGCTATAGAAATCAAGAGCATTGAAAGTCCTTAAATGGTCAACTTTTGAATCCAGATGAGATAAAGAAAAGCCAAAAAATTGAATTTTAAAAGAGTTTCGACGAAAAACGAATGAATCAAGCTATGCTATTGAAAGAAAGTTTCGAGAAATTGAAATAAATTGAAATAAATTGAAATAAATTGAAATAAATTGAAATAAATTGAAATAAATTGAAATAAATTGAAATAAATTAAAAGATACTTTATTCAACATGAATAAGTGGATACAACACAACGGAGGACACAATTTTTACCCCTACAATGTAGTTAAGAAAAACCCAACTTAATTGGGAAAAAGAACACACTTGATTTTGCCAGCGAGATCGAAATCTCGACCTTCCGATTAGGAGACAAGACTCCTAACCAGTCGGCCAACTGGAGTATAAATTGAAATAAATTGAAATAAATTGAAATAAATTGAAATAAATTGAAATAAATTGAAATAAATTGAAATAAATTGAAATAAATTGAAATAAATTGAAATAAATTGTCTTTAAGCGCTTAAATTAATACTTTTAAATCATGAAAATGTAATTTTTGTTAAATAAAATAAATAAATAAATAAAGCTAAATAAAGCTAAATAAATAAAGCTATGATTTATCTAGAAATAAATTTGAATTATATAATTTGAAAATAGAATAGAATAATCCATGCAATAGAATATCCATCCTTTTATAGCGAAAGACAAAACGAGTAATCGATTCTTGAATTCACAATCGGGCTCATCATTGAATAAGTGCCACCAGAAAGACTCCACTTCTTTAGAAGAAATCTAGAAATCGAAAGCTTTCTTTCATCGACAAATTTGCCCGTAAAGCTGAACTCTGTCTTTAAGCGCTTTACTATAACCTGCCCTACTCTAATCACTCATTCATAACGGAGATTCACTTCTGCAGAAATCCTTGACACTTCATCTTCTCGTCATTATGCACTTTCTCATATCCATCCTCCTCATCCACACTAACTCCCAATAAAATAAGCGATCTCGCGATTGGCGGAGGGGATTTCATCGGTTGACCGTCGTCCGTCCATGCGTGAAGGGATAAAGGAGAATCCCATCTAGATTTTGCCAAATTTATCGGAATTGATAGCTGTAATCCTTTTTCATTATTTGAATGCAAAAACTTCGAAAAATCAAAAAAAGTTCCAACCAACCGGATTCGAACCAGTGACCTAAGGATAGCTGCTCGCTCTACAGTCCTCCGCTCTACCAACTGAGCTATGGTTGGGTTGGGGAGAGAGGGAGAATTTGCTGCCAAATCAGATTCCAATCAATTTTTTGGGTTTCAAAGGAATAGAAAAGGCTTTGGGGATAAAAATTTATTTAAAAATTTATTTTTAAAAATCTTAACTTTCAAGGCTGAAAAGAGACCACAACTTGCTTGTTTTTTTGGAAATTTTTCAAGAATTTGTTTATAATTTGACAGAGAGTATTCTAGTTGGAGTTGTAAGCCAGGCTAGTTCAAGATTTAGAGTTGCTTGGTGAACTTGTTGGTGCTGATCAATCTTGTCTTTAATCCTAGTTAATCCAAGCTGACTCAAATGCCAGGGTCAGGCTCAGCACTAACTGAATCTTGCAAAGGTTTTATAGTGAGGCGTTGGCTTGAAAAAATCTTATAACATTTGTACCTAATAAAAGTTAACTTCAAAGCAAAAAAACAATTTGATGAGCCTGACCCTGGCTGAGCCTGACCCTGGCTGAGCCTGACCCTGGCTGAGCCTGACCCTGGCTGAGCCTGACCCTGGCTGAGCCTGACCCTGGCTGAGCCTGACCCTGGCTGAGCCTGACCCTGGCTGAGCCTGACCCTGGCTGAGCCTGACCCTGGCTGAGCCTGACCTGGCTGAGCCTGACCCTGGCTGAGCCTGACCCCGGCTGAGCCTGACCCTGGCTGAGCCTGACCCTGGCTGAGCCTGACCCTGGCTGAGCCTGACCCTGGCTGAGCCTGACCCCTGGCTGAGCCTGACCCTGGCTGAGCCTGACCCTGGCTGAGCCTGACCCTGGCTGAGCCTGACCCTGGCTGAGCCTGACCCTGGCTGAGCCTGACCCTGGCTGAGCCTGACCCTGGCTGAGCCTGACCCTGGCTGAGCCTGACCCTTTGAGTCAGCCTGGATTAACTAGGATTAAAGGCAAGGTTGCTCAGCACCAACAATTTCACCAACTCACCTCAATTTCTGAATGTCAATCACCGCCGAAACTCTTAACCCTCCGCCGGTCAATGTCTCCTTAAAACCATTCATATAAATCAACTCGATTCACTCGATTTGTCGCTTCCAATAGTTTCTCTTCAACTTTTTTCATTCTCAAGAATTGAGGCAAGAATCTAGGGTTTCTTTTTGGTAAAATCATTTCGATAAATTACATTTCTAATGAGATTTCTGCTTTTCTCTTCACTTCCAACAATGACAATCACAGTGGGATCTTCGGACGGAGTTTTCAACCATCGATTCAAAACTTCTGAAAATAAAAAAGTTAACCTTAAAATAATAATTGAGTTGTTCCAAAATCTAAAACAAACTTTTCAACAAATTTTCATCATTTTCCGCAAGTTTTCCATCGATAATGACTTGCTGAAAAGATAATTTTTGTAGAAAGGAAAGCGATCAAAGTTTCTCTTCTTCAGTCCTTTCAGAAGTCGACTTTTCTGAGTTCAAGCAGTACAGTTCAAGCAGTACAGTTCAAGCAGTACAGTTCCAAGCAGTACAGTTCAAGCAGTACAGTTCAAGCAGTACAGTTCAATCAGTACAGTTCAAGGGTACAGTTCAAGCAGTACAGTTCAAGCTTGAACTAAGCTATGTAAGTCTATGTAAATCAATATCAAAAATGTTTCACCTCCAATGATTTTGTAAATTCTGTTGCCGAACTTGATTGAACTTTCTCAACTTCTGGGCAATTTCCCCAAGTCAAGCTCTTTTCGAGATGTTGATCTGTTTTTGAAAGTTTTCCGTTCCTTTCTCCATTTGCTCTCGGTTTTCAATGATCGATAGACGAAATTCTGCCAACATTCGTTTATGTACCGTATTTCGGGATGTGCTTCGGAAATTTCGCCAATAAATTTGTAAATTCTCTTTAGTCGCTTCTTTAAGGGTTTCTGGGAATAAAAAATGAAACCAATCAAAAAATGAGCCGACGATGAAACCGAGGGAGAAAACTGGAATTGAGAATTTTTCTTTTTTTTGTTTAGAAATGAGTTTATAGGGATTTAAAGTTAGAGAAATTTTATAGAAAACATTATAGAATATAATAGTATTGATTTGTTGGCTTAAAAGCTACAGCTACAGCTAAAGGCTTTTGCTCGCCAATCCCTTCTAGCTAGGAAGCTAAAGGCTCGTAGGCTTTCAGGGAAATCAAGGCTGAGGAGAAAGATGAGGGTGACACTTTTAACATGACACTACTTTTAATATGTTTCCTTTCTTTCTTTCTTTCCTTTGTGTTTTTACGCTTTCTTTCTTTCCTTTTAATATTGTTTCTTTTAACATGACGCTACAGTACCATTATGATACGTACAGTACCTTGATACGTACCGTATCGTTTCTTTGCTGTACCGAGTACGCTTGATACGTACCGTATCGGTTTCTTTGGTCAGTACGCCAGTACCATCCGTACCGTATCGTTTCTTTGCGTACGGTACGCTTAATGCGTACCATGTATCGTTCCTTTGCGTACAGTACACTTGATACGTACCGTATCGTTTCTTTACGTACAGTATCGTTTCTTTACGTACTTTAGGATAATAATTATCTAAACTGCTTGATTTCCTTCCAACATTGTACAATATACTGGAAGGAAAAATATTCAATCGATTGATTGGTTTGATTGGTCGATTGAATTTCTTTTGAATTGATTGAATTTCTTGGCTAATTCTTCAAGTAATTTTATTGTTTTACCATTCTGTAGTGATTAGAATATCAGAATAGCTATTAGGTACATGCATAAGAAATGCAGATTTCAACATTTTCATAAATTTTCGACGATAGGAAGCTGATATCGATGAATGTTATAAATAACTGAAATCCGCATTTCTTGTGCATTTACCTAATACAATCTCTAACCTGTAAATCGAGAATCGATATCTTCCCCATTTTCCCCTATTCAGTGCCATTTTCTGATTACGATAACTTTGAATGTTTGCATTTTCAGTCAATTTATCATAATCATCATTGATTCATCTTCCTTAAAGTAAAATTCTTAAAAGAATATAAACACAAAAATTCGGAACCCGATGTTTCGTTGAAAAGAAATTCGAGAACCCGATGTTTATTCAATTATAGAAAGTTATTTAGTTTCATGTTTTTTAAAGGCTTCATCCCGACCCCTTTTTCTGGTCTCTTTGTTCGGCTCTCTACAGGGCGCCTCCAAGGCAGAGGGAGCCTTTCTCCTTCGCCAACCTTCCGTTTTCCTCTAAAAGCCCCACAGTTTCTTTTTAATCGAGTTATTAAATTCCTGGAACATTTTGCCCCTGATGTTCCGTGATATTTCCACCTTGGCTAGATTTAAAGCCTAAAGGCTAGGCTAGATGACTTCGGCAATTGATTTGACTGCTCTGTGATTCTTTCTTGAAGTTATCTATTTATTTTTAGGTGTGTTTTGAGTGGTGTCGAGGTAATTATTGTGATTTTGTTTTGTCGCTATTCGACTGAATAAAGCATATATATGTTGTGTCCTATTTAGATTTCCGTCCGATTTACAGTTAGATCTAAATCGGACGCCCGATATAGACTGTAATCTAAGTCGGACGTCCGCGATAAGTTCAATCT